GGCCCTATGGAGCCCTAACCCCAATTAATCCATCGCGCGAAAATGAATACAGCGCGGGTCAAAACGGGTTGTCATCGGGTTGTCGTATTAACCCGGACCCGACCCGAAAGTTGAACCGGGACAATTTACTAAACCCGAACCTGACCCGTTTTGAGATCGGGTCGGGTCAGACCCGAAATTTCCGGATCGAGTTCGAGTCGGGTTCTCGTGTCATGTCAATTATTGACACCCCTAGTCTAAATGTTGAACCCGAACCTGACCCGTTTTAGGTTCGGGTTGACCCTAACCCAAAATTTTTGGGACGGGTTCGAGCGAGGTTGGTAGGTGAAAGCCGCTATCCTCCATGGCTAATCGTATCTATAACTCCATCTGCTCTTCCATCGGCCTGCTTGTGCCGAGTGTAAAGGTCTACGACCATTTTGTCCTACGGGATAGTGTGATCGTACCCTCTGCATTCGAACCACACGAACGGAATCCTTTCGGAGACCCACATCAGTCACAAAATTTTCGGATCGGGTTCGAGTCGGGTTCTCGTGTCGTGTCAATTATTGACACCCCTATTCGAAATATTGAACCCGAACATGACCCGTTTTGGGTTCGGGTTGACCCTAACCCGAAATTTTTGGGTCGGGTTCGAGTCGGATTTTCAGGTCGTGTTAAATGTTGACACCCCTAATTTACGGTATGATATAAGTGTATCTAAATTAGACCTAGTATATGAGAGAGGACCTAATTATAATGTATAGGTTGGCAAGATTTATAGTAGAAGATCAAGGTTTTCGTTATAATAATGAATCAATGAGAGATTTCTCAAGTGTTTTACTTAATATAATGGATTAATCACATGATGAGCTAGGTCTAAACTTCTTAAGTGAAAGCTTAAATATGAGTTAGATGATTTGTTATGTGTTGATTTAAAATGCACACATGAATTACATGATGTGGTAAGTTTTTTATGTGAAAGAGTGAAAGTGGGTTAGGTGATTCTAGATAAGTTAGGTAGGTTTGAATTTATATAATATATGCATTATAACGTAAATATTACTATAAAATGCACTTAAAATATATTAGCATTCACGGTTTTCCGAAATCACTAAAGCCTTCAAATGTCCAACGAACTATGCACGATCGAAGGATTCAATATCAGCCGTCCATTCGGCCACTCCCTATTTCCCCCTGATCTCACACCTATTTATGAGCTATGCCACTCCAAAAAAATTATAAATAGAGCCCTCATTTCTCATTGGGGGGGGGCAAGCAAGAAGAAAAAGAGAAGAAGAGAAGAGAAGGAGAGGAGAGAACAGCTCCTCCTCGACCACCGTCGGAGTTCTTCCCGTCGTCAGAACGACGCCGGAATCCCACCAGACGCCCGGGTGACGCCGGAACTCTGCTCGACTTTGTAACTGAATTTCAATTCAGAAAAAACTCATTGTAATCTGATCGTCCTAACTTGTTGGCCGAATCAGCCTCTTATATCTCAAACTACACTAGTTGAACTTTTCAACTGGGCGTGGTCCCATTGTTTTTTCCCTTTTCAGGGTTTTCCACATAAAAATCCTGGTGTTCTTTTATCTTCTATTTCTGTGTGCTAGATATTCGTACAACGCTCAGATTAAAATTTTCTAACTCTACCGCCACATATATTCTAGCCCGCAACATCTCTCTTTCATAATAAAAAAGTGGCTTGTGAACTGGTTCGAACTCATAGAATAAAGTTTGAGCTCGAACTCGATTAATAAATTAAGCTCAATCTCAAATCAAGAAAGACTTAGGGTTCGTTTGTGACGGTTTTTTATTACTTCTTAAAATTTTTAATTAAAATTTTATTTTAAAAAATAATAAAAAGTTATCCCAAACGAACTCCTAATCTCAGCTCAATTCGTCTAAGTACTTTTTTAGGTTTCAATGCTAATGGAATTGAATCGTGTTGTTAATTTTTAGCTCACCTCAGCGCTTACTTTTTTTTTTTTTGGATCCTATGTGTACGTGCATTGTTTGGTTGTTAGGAGAAATAAGGAGCTACTTTCAATCTTTATGGGCTATAAATAAATCTCCATTAATGGGCCTTGTTTTTTAAGCCTTCAAATTAGTTTGTATATCCATTGGTTTTCACTGGATTATCTTCTGGGCCTTAAAGATTCCCACTGGATTATGTGAATTTCAGCTTTTGTCCTTGACATGTGGCTTCTTTTCAAATGACTTATAATTTTTTTTTAGGACAATTAAGTCAAATTTATACACGAAATATACACAAAATTTAAACCTAAGACCACTTAGTTGGTAGCCAAAGCTCCCAACTAACAGAGATCAAGGTGAGCTGCATAAGTGACCTGTAATCTCTACTAGAACAAAATCGTAATTATAACTTGGTGTTTTTACATGATTCATATTTTTTCTACATATTGCACGTTCTGGAATCCTATTAACTTGCATTGGGATGTGGTGTTTTGGTTGAATTAGTTATAGATTCTAAAGGTATTTATATATCTAACATCTAAAACTATCCATTTATTAAACTATTGCTTCGTTATTTTTTTCCAGCCACAACATTTCTTTTTTCGGAAACCCGCAACGATGAAGAAAGAGGAGAGGAAGCTATGGCAAGATCTTGTTGAGGGGAGGCATCGGCTAAATTAGTGTGTAAGCGTTGAGGAAACCCTTAGTAACATAGAATAAGTGAGGAAATTACGATGATGCCTTGATAGGAGAAGTAAATATCACGAGCTAATGAATCGAGTTAGGACATATCTAATGAGCTCTTTCTTATCAAGCTGACTCATAAATCAACTTGACTCAATCACATGCTTAGGGTGTGCCTCTTACCAAGATAATGAACCCAGCTGCAATTGGATGATTAACTTACTGTTAAATCTTTATTATGTTCATATCTTCGTGGAGAAAAAAATGTTATTTATTAAAAAATGATATATTTATTTAAGCAATTTTTGCTAATTTTAGAGTTCATAGTTTTCACCTTAACATGCTTTTGTTGAGTTTTTTTCTTATTATTTATTTATTTGTTACATCCCATTTTGTTCATCAGCCATGACCTTATATACAATATTGACTATGAAATGAAGAGAAATTAATTCAAAAGAGGAGATGAAAGAGAAGCTCTTTTAATTTTTTATTGTAGAGACAAATAATTGTCTTTGGGATTGGCAATTAACTATTTCTTAATTTATTTATTATAAGAAAGACAAGTGTTATATTCATAACATACATACTCAAGATATCATTTATGATTATCGAAAGAGCACTCAGTGGCGGAGCAAGAAAATTTTCTAGTGGGGACACAAATTAGATTTTTAAAATATTTTCTTAATTTGTTTTCTTTCATGATTGAGATCATAATTTATTTTCACATAAAAATATGTGTTATAAGAGGATAAATAAAAGAATGAATATGATTAACTAATTTTTTTAATAAAAAATTAATAACAACATAAAATAAAAAACAATTATATTATTTTTCTTTTATTGGTGGGGGGCTTGTGGGGGTGGGGGAAGAGGCCTCCCCTTAGCTCCGCCCTCTTCTAAGAAGCATCGCAAATACAGCTCCTTAGAGCTAATCAGCTAACACACAAAAAACAGTGAAAAGACTATTAAATCCCAAAAATATTCATTCATTTAGTCTATATTTCTTACCTATAGCAGGCTATTATAACAATATACTTAGAAAGGTTAACTCCCAGAAAAGGTACTAAATTAGATAAACTATTCCTAAGCCTAATGGCAGAACCAAGTACGCCTAGGAGGTGCAAATGCCCCCCGAAAAAGAAAAAAAAAGTCTTATAGTTAGGTTAATTATCTAATTGTGCCCCCTAAATATCATCTATTGCCCTCCTTTGCCCTGCTCGCCTGTATTCAGGCTTGAAGCAGACACATATCCAGGATTGAGTGTGATTAGACATGTGATTAACATTTCTTCCATATTCACACCATTAAACATTTAAAAACGTTTATGTCTCTTGCATAAAATTATTAAAGAAGCTTTATAATTTTATTTTTATATTATACTTTGAATAAGTGTGATTAGACATGATTACTCATATTATTTTATCAAAAAAATGATTAAATATAAGAGATATTTAAAATCATTCTAATTTAAGAATGATTAATAATATATTATATTATATATATATATATATATATATATATATATAATATATATATATATAATATATTATAGTTAAAATTTGATTAACGTAATAGATTATTTGAGTGTATATAAAAATAAAAACTTATAACAATACAATCAAATGTGTGCCAAATGGGAAATTGTAAAATTTCCCAGTGCTTATTTATTAGAAAATATATCTGAACATTTATTCAGATAAAATGTCACTTTTCTTTGAGATATTAATTTTACTTGCAAGAAAATATAATTTATATATTAATTGATTTTTTTATGGAGCTTAAATATTATTCTTTCATAATTTGAACTTTTAGATTATTTAAACATTCATATCTCTCTAAATATGATTTAATAATTTTAGAAAAATTATAGGTGTTAACCTATTCTAAATTTTTCTTTTGGATTTAAATCAAAATTTTAAGTCAAAATATGTTTTAGGTTTAAAATGTGAAAAATATAATTAAACTTTATAATACATTAATCTAAGGAGGATTTACATACATTCCACTTTATTTCATGTTATTTACATATCTAACACCGAAAAATTTAATATTATAAGCTTATCAACTATGGAACAAATATGAGTACATGAAATGAAATATTAAAATTATAAGATGATAAGAATGAAATTATGAGTGATATATTTGATATTAAAATTTTATATGAGTGATAGAAATATAATATTAAAATATATATAAATAACATAAAATAAAATTATATGTAAATCCCCGTTCTAATTAAAATTTAAATTAGGACATAGTCAAACATTTTTTTTTTCAAAATTGGTGTATTTTCAGCACGCTACCAAACACGCGTTCTGCTTTGGGTGGGCGAGTTGTTGGGAGAGGACTTTATAAATCGTACGTATTGACCGAACTCGAAGACGAAACCGAGGACGTGCTGCCGTGCTTCAGCTTCCTCCATTTTCCACCTTTACCTTCTCCGCCTTTGACGACCAGCAAGGGAAGTTCGAAAGGAGCAGCCGAGCCAGCATCTGAGATTTGATCGTTATTCTCTCGGTACGTTGATAATCGCCACCGATCCTCTCGTCTTATGTCACGAATCTCCGTTTTCTTTATGCTTTCAAGTTTGCGATCTAAGCTATGTCTGACTGGGATATGTTACGGATTCTTTCTATCTTTCTGCTTGGATTCTTGCTGTTTACCGACGGTAGAAGGGGAAGAAGAGGGGTTTGCTTGCTTATTGGGTTGGGCGTCTTGGGATTGTATGACTACACGGTAAATCGCTACGAGTAGACTATGTGGCATGATAAGAATGGCGAACTGCTCCGCGAAAGGCACTCCAAAGAGCTTTCTTTCGCATTCCTCTTTCACAAGTCTCTCTTCTCGTCTTTCTTCTTGAATCCCCGACTCCGAAATTCCTGAAACCTCCACGAAGATGAAGCTAGGAAGTCGCTAGTAGGGATCGACGGGATTAGCGGCGTGTGAAGGAGGGAAATTCGTGAGACTTGCGGATTATCTTAAATCCGCCCAATTATATTGTGTACTAAATCCTGGATTTAAGGTAAAACGGAGGAGAAACTTATTGTTGAGCTTTACCACAATCTCTTCGACTTAGCCTGCTTCGCGTGAGAATTAGAGTTTTGAACTAGTCGCTAAATAACTTCTTCGCCTCCTTCGACGAGGTTCCTTCCTGTCGGATCCGATGTTACACCTCCTCGCTGTTCTTCTGTTGGATCGGAAGTAACGACGACGACGGGACCTTGCTTGTTGCGAAGGTAGTCATCTTTCTTCCTTTAGCGTGCTTCTTCGGCCAAATCCCGTAAATCCGCTGAATTCTTGGATTTAGTAAATCCGGGATTTACGGAAAAAAGAGGGAAACGAAGGATTTAACTGGCTTCGAAGATTTAACAGTTCCCTAAATCCTGTTTGGCAAGATCTAGCATAAATGCTGTATCCAAACAGCCCCTAAAGCTGTCATTTTTTCTGTTTGGCAGGATTTAGGTTAAAACTTGCTACCAAACAGCCTCTAAGTTGTATGGTTATTCTCTCTCTAAGAACATAAATGAAATTGATAAATTTATACTAGGCATTCAGTTATGAATCCATAATGTAGTTTGCTTTTGCTTCATTTTTAATAGGCTTGATTGAATTGTCTATTGTTATATTTCACATATTTTTTACAGATTTTTCCCTTTTTTTTAATGATGTGTGGCTTTCATGTAGCCGCTTGTTGTGTTGGATCTGAATGTCCTTAATTGGTCCTTCAGGCTAGAATTACACCAAGATTACTTTTGCAGCATGGAAGCTTCGAACTTAGCACTTCAACAATTGAAGATTTCGGGTGTTCATCAACAAAGAATTAGAAAGTATTCATTATTGTAAGTTCTACATTTGCGTTATCAGCATTCCAGTTGTTAATTTTTTATTTTAATTATGATTTTCAGAGTATTTATAAACCTTTCCTTAAATTTATGCTTTAAATTATTACAGTTAATGTTTGGTATGATATGATGTCCAAGCTAATCCATGATTCAACTACTGTAACTTTCAAATGTTTTTATGTGATGTACTTGAATGATTCTTTGCCGTTCCCTTCATTTAAGTAATTAGGTTTGTTGTTGACCAGATGAGAATCACTACCTTTTTTTCTCTTTTCAGGCCTGGGAAACGAGATGCTTCCTTTGGCAATATGACACCTACACTGTTTTATCCAGATAAAAAATCAAGAAGGGTTAATAAATCATCTGATATAGCTTCTCTTTCATGTCATGCTTCAACTAATAAGGAGAATGCGGTAAAGCTCAACAATAATTTGTCAATTATGAAGAGAAAATGTACAGAAAATACATATGGTTCAACAGAAGTATGCTCATTTAGTGAAAGTATCCAAAATATTTCTTCAAATACTGTACATGAAAAAGTTGGAGTGTTGCTGCTGAATCTTGGAGGTCCAGAGACTCTTGACGATGTTCAACCATTTCTATTCAATCTGTTTGCTGATCCTGTATGTAGCATGCAAACCTTTTATTTTACTTTGTGTTGATGCATAATTTTGAGATTGGAGTCTAATTGGGTCGTTGATCAAAAGCTATTGCTAATTTTACTCTTCTGTTAATGTGATTTTCATTCTCATTAGTATGGCAAATCTTTGACTTAATGAGTATTTTTTTTTGTCTTTTTTGCCGGCTAACACTCATGTTCGATGCCAAACTTGGATTACCTCCATATTTTATGAGGGGACAATTGGCTGTCACACCAAACTAACAATTACCTTCCCCTAAAACTTCCCAAGACTACCAAGAATACAAAAAATAATAATAATAATAATAATAAAACCAAGAAAACTTCAAGATCCATAGAGATATTCTAATATAGAATACAAATTACTTTAGCAAAATTAAATGACAAAAAAAAACCCTCATATAAGAATAACCGATTCATATTTAACATTAATTTATTGATGGCAATTCCTGATTTGTCCCAAAGGATCGATCTTTGCAAGCACGCGGTCATTGCGCTTATTCCTGCAATTACCTGCTCCCCTCTGATCTCTATCCTAATACCCAAAGCACTGATTGAGAACTAGGCTGGAATTTCTGTTAGCCAAGGAAACTATACAAGAGGAAAAGAAGCCAATATATTAACTGATCAAGAAACAAAGTAAATGATAATATAGAACCTGATAAGATTTGTATCTAGGATCCAACAACTCCTAGCCCCCCCAAAAAATATTGGCATCTATAAAAGAAAAAAAAAAACTTGCCTTCAAGTATGTATTGGCCAAACTATCTAGTCGTCACCCTTCTAATAAAAGAAAAAAAAAACAGTTCAAATGCTCACATGAAAGCAATACGATAATAAAAGACATTGGAAGAACAAATAACCTGATAGAGGTGATTCTTTGCTCAATGTGTTAATGCATCTATTATGAATCCAAGAAATATGAGAGTAGCGTCTATCATCTTTTACACTTAGTGAGTTGAATGATCAAGAACTCAAAAGAGAGGATATAGGCACGGACTACTATCAAATTAAATGGAAATTGTAAATTGGATACTGTTAGACAGATCCAATGGATCGGTCCGCAATTTGAGATGGAACTCTTCCTCCTCTAGGAAGATCCGCACGCTCCGCCAGCTCCATGGGGGCCGAATAGGAAGGATTTTTGGGGGAATTATGAGCGAAATTGAATGTAGGGACTGTTTAGGGATTTCCTTTTGATTTGTATGCATTAAATAGTTTGTTTTCTTAGGATTATGGCATCTTGAATTGGGCTGAAATTTGATATCTCTTAGATTTAGATTTTCTTTTGGGTTCTAGCGGCATCTAGAGATTTGAGAGAGATTGATCCTCCTCTCGAATAGAGGGTCAACTATATTTTTCTATTTTTCGGTTCCCTTTCATCAAATAATACAAATTATCTACTATTTTCGTGATTTTGTGCGGATTTTTGTGGAGAATTCTCGTTGTTTTCCGAAGATTGACAGGAAAACTTGAGATCTACAAGTGTTTCCTATCAGATACCCTCTTGATGATGAATTTCCTAGATCGGTTATTGTTTTTGCCCCTTGTGCAACTCTCAAGAGACCTATGTTGATCAATGATGGCACGTGGGATTCTTCCACCAACTAGATGTTGCAACAAACCCCCTAGATAGCCCACAAAAGATGACATTTGAGTTCTAAGATCAATTGTGGTGAAGTTCTAACTCCCTCTCCCTCCCCATGACAAGGAAATTCTTCCTAAAACTCAAGGTAATCTGGTATAAAAAAGATTACGCTACCTCTTGCATCTTGCAAAAACCATTATACATGTTTGAGATGTGATGCAACAAGATGATTAGCCATTTGCATATATGCCAATAATTTTAAAACATATTAAAATATGTTTTCTACATGTAATAAGGATATTTTATTCCTTACATATTAGTCTTAATATATTTTAGGAAAATTTTATAAAGTCAAGTGTCTATAAAAGAGGCTCTATAGCTAATTTGAAATTACCCATGACATCTCTTATGGGGATTCTTTCCTATTTAGGTTTAGATTTGTTGTTGTGTTTATAATCCTTGCCACCTTCCTCTTAAGCTATTCATTCTTCTAGCTTCTTCAACTCATTTTCTTTCCACCTCTCTAATTCTTCTCCTACAATGGATTCTTTTAGCTCTCGATGTTTCTTTTTGTTGTCAATTTAGTAGAAGAGCTTAAGTTTGATCCAATGGCAGGCAACTCAAAATTCATGAGTTGGCCCAATTACTGCATGTGGCTCTCTCGTTCACTCTTGCCCTTGGTCACTCGCTTGTATGAAACACATTGTGTCAGCTTCATTGTGTTTGTTCCCTAGCTTCACGCCTCTTGGGCCTTACATAATCTTGCATCTCACCATCACACATCATATATACTCATTGTGGTCCGTCTCATTACTTGCCCTCAAATATTGTCATTGATGATGATGTTCTTTCCCCTTCATGTCTTCTTTTATTGGATGGATTTCCCATTCATCTCCTCTTATGGGAATGAACTTCCCATTCTTCTATATTTTTCTTCACAGATTTGTTTAGCACCGCAATACAATTGAAGATCTCCAACTCTCTCATTAGTAATATTTCAATCCTCTGGTGTAGATTTCATTGCAACTTATGGGAATTTATGTACTTTCATTGGATGTATGTCCATAATTTCAAAACATATTTTAAACATGCTTCTTATATGTGATAAATACATTTTATTTCTTTATATATTAGTTTTAATATCTTTTGGACAACTATTATGAGTTTCAAGTCTATATAAGGGACTATAGTCTTATAGTAGCAATTTTTAGATGATGAATTGAGATTTGGAATAGCTTGTGGCATCCTATATGGGGATTCTCTCTTAGGATTTTTATTTGTTGGTTCATCTCTACCCCTTACCACCCTCCTATTGAGGTGTTCATTCGTCTAACTTTTATAATACCTTTCCTCTACCTCTTTAATTATTCTCTCAGTTGATTCTTTTAACTCTTAATGCTTCTCTTTGTTATCAATACATGTTGATTGAATGTAGTTTTTTTTCAAATAGATCATTTTATTGTTGAAATTAGTTGCATTTGTGCTCTCTGAAGAGCTTGGTAATGGAAATTGTAGCAAGCATGTAACTAGGGAACCCAAATCAGGTAGACCATGTTGGTGTTACTCTTTTTATTATAAATAGCATCAATTTACTTGCATTATTTTTTCCCCGGGAAGCTATTTTATGCATAATAAGTTTCCATAGCTTAATATCTTTTTGAAGCAGCCATCAACATCAACAATGATTAAGAGAAATATATTCTTTGAAGTGTATCACAGAAAAATGTACATTTTAAACCTCAAATTTGAATTCATTTAGTGTGGATAACATTGAATAACATCATCATCATTATTTGTTTGTCCCAACTAATTGGGATTGGTATTAATGGCGAATCTACAATGGGGGCACTAAGGGCCCATTCCCCCATTGGCCTGGCCTTAAACTACATATTTCAAGATTGATTTTTTTTATTTGATAAACTATGACACGTAGCCACAACCCAGTCAGTTTGCGATCAACTGCTGTGCTCTCCCATGCGAGCTATGCTCACGCTTCTCTTGCTGGCAAGTGCTTCATTGTTAAACAACCGACAGTCAGCAATGCCAGTGTTGCTCTATGTAGGTATCTTGCACAAATGTAATTTATTTAGAAGTTAAATTTGAAATTCATGTACTATTTGGCACATCTTCAAAAATTTATAATGATTTTTTGAAGTACGACTGTACAAAGCCATTTTGTATTTAATGGCTATATAGTTATTAGGCTTTTTGTCCATGCATAAAAGCATATTATATGAAAGGGGTGGTGAGTTTGAGGAAACCTATTTAAAATCTAAAATCAAATTTAATTTTGAATTAAATTAAATAATAAAATAAAAAAGTCACTTATATTTATTCTTTTTTATAAATTTGTAAATAATACTATACATAGAACTTTTTTTGTAAATTTCTAAATGGGATTCTCATTTTATATGTATATATATATATGGTGTAGTTACTGGTAAATTTTATTAATTAAACAAATTTTCTTCCCTACAATTAATAGACCTTTTTTTTCATCTTTATGTTATGCTTTCCAATCTTCTTTAAACATTCCAAGGTTCTCCTTTCAGAGAAAATCAATTTATGAGGATTTATTCCTCTCTTTAGCTTTTAGTGCATCTCAATTTTGTAGTTTGAATGAATTGATTGTTATTTATGACTGCACATTTGTGGATTCAATTACTATGTTTTTTTTTTTTTAATTTGCTGAGCCAATCCTTAAACCATTACTTGAGGTCGAATTTAAGACCACTCAACCATGTGGTTGGTGGTGAATTACTACTATGTTGGTGCCTTGTCGTGAAATAAAAAAAGAAAGGAAATAGTGCATCTCAATATCAGTAATTGATTGTAACGTCAGCTTTGTGAAAAATAATCTTTGATGTTACAGAATCACCTGGCAACATCGTCTTTAGTCAGTTGCTATGTATTTCTGTCTTTTTAAAGATTTTTCTGGCTTTTTCATAGTTGATTGATATTGCTTTGATATTTTTACTTTTTGTGCTTTCCTACTCAAATTCACCATGAAAAAATGGCATCTCCTTCGTTCCTTCTTATATTTTATGGTCAAGGAATATAAAAACTATGCAGTCATTTGTTTTATGTCAGAAGGAAATCATTCTTTAGTTTTTTGCATTTATTTTTATTGGCATAGAATGCTTTATTGACTGGAGCATGAAAAAGAGACATTTCTCTTTGTCACTGCGTAGTTTTATGGCATAAAGCCTATTGTTGGTGGTCCCAATGTGCTTTTTAAATGATAGTTCTGTGCTTGTTAGTGTCATGAAAATTTTTAAGCATACCAGCTTTTATGGTGATATGCCATGACCTCAAGGAGTTAAATCTACTGTTATAACTTATAAATGCCCTCCAAGTGATTTTTTTATTGGAACAAACAATCGCATTTAATAAGTTTAGAAGTGTTATTATTGTTACTTTCTTTGTTGTTTTAAAACTTTTTTTTATTATATGATATATGAAAATATGAGTCATTGCACTGTCTTTTATGAATAAGATAAATTAAATGACAACAATGAGTTACTGAATATGATATAAATCCTAGGAACTAGATGTAAAGACGGACTGCTTGTGTGGAAGGCAATCTAGTTTTTTGTAGTTTGCTAATGTGATGGATTTTCCATCTTTTGTGTTTCTTTCGAAGTAGATGTCACTAATATACTGCCATATTCTTAAACTGGGACAATATTCTCACAAGCTGAAAAACATTTACATGTTAGCAATGTCGGTATTGGATATTTCACCTAATATAAGATAGTGACTATCACTTTTATATCTGTTTAATCATTTATATTTTTTAACAAAATCCTTGAGGTGTAATGTTTACTTTAGTTGGTGCCTAAAGTTTTATCAAGGGTTGAAATTTTTTGTTTGCCACAGGATATAATCAGGCTTCCCAGACTTTTCCGTTTTCTTCAAAAGCCCTTGGCCAAGCTAATCTCAACTTTTAGAGCTCCAAAGAGTAAAGAAGCTTATGCTTCTATTGGTGGTGGGTCGCCTCTGAGAAAGATTACAGATGAGCAGGTACGAAAGTCTTTATATGGTTAAGTTTTGGAATGGAAAGGCTCATATTTTTCTACCTAAACATTTCTTATAACTACTTTTTAAGACGCTTCTGGTGATCTTTATTTTGTTATTTTAACCTATGGGATCTCTTCTTTATGTTGTAATCTCCAAGATGGTACAAAAGATTCCTACTTGGTTGTGATAGTGCTTCATTCTATTCAACCTTTATACGTTCATTGTTCATCTTGTATCTATGTTTCAGCGAAAACCTATCACCTATCCTTTTGATATGTTCATAAAGATTACTCTGACAAGCTGCATTGATGCTAACTCTAAATGACTGCTCTGTTAGGCACAAGCACTAAAAAATGCCTTGGAAGACAAAGGTTTGCATGCAAATGTGTTTGTTGCAATGCGATATTGGCATCCATTTACAGAAGAAGCTATTCATCAGGTTATTCATTTTTCTTTATTTGCTTCTAAATAGTTATAATTATTTATTTAATGCCAGTTTACATTGAGTTATGTGTTTTTCCATCAAAGTGGTAACTTCAAATTATTTTGCTGAAAATATGTTGATGTTATTTCTTAGAGACAACTTTGGTGTTATAAACTTTGGAAAACAGTTATGATTTCTAGCTATAAATTGTTAGCATGATGGTGTAGGATATCTGGAAAATCGTAGTTATTGCTGCCTTAGTTGAAGGAAAACAATTTTGGGAATCATTTTAAGAATGTCATGGGTATGATAAAAACTGTTCCATGGCAAAATGGTTGATAGTGTTTCTATAAAACATCAAATGACTTTCATTTTCATACCACAAATTGAAAACATCCTGACTATATTATATTTAGTTAACCATAAATTGTTTTGCATTTCATTTTCTATGAATAACTTTCAATTTGAAATTGACAGATAAAGCGGGATGACATTACAAAGCTTGTTATTCTACCATTATATCCTCAGTTCTCCATATCAACAAGCGGGTCAAGCATCCGTGTACTTAATAGTATCTTCAGGTGAAAATCTATCTCCTCTACTAAATCCATTCCCTTATTCACCAAATCTTTAAAATGATAATCTTTGGTGAATGTTTACTGAATCACTTGACAGGGAAGATGGTTATTTTACGAGAGTGGCTATCTCTGTAATAGAATCATGGTATCAACGTGAGGGTTATATAAGATCGATGGCTGATTTGATAGAGAAGGAATTATCAAAATTTTCTAAACCTGAAGAGGTAATTCTTTCAATTCATTCATTTGCTTGTCTTGGCATTGAGGTAGAAGAGAGTCCCTCTTTAAGTGAAGGGCTTGCTTTAATTTCTTGTTCTTTTAAAAAATATGAGGAATACAATTAATTTATGAAAGTTATGGTTTTAAATGAGGCTAGGAAAACAATTGGAATGTTCCTATTTTTTCCCGTAGGAGCAAATGGAAGTCTCCCAATCTAATTTATCTCCTGATATAGTTTCATTGTAATCTATATTTATTTTCCATTATTCATCATCATTATCATTAGCCAAATCAATTTGGTTTTGGCTTCATGAACCCTTGTTCTCCATTTATTCCTATTGAGTATCATTTTGAAGTGTTAAATCCTATTTTTTTGTGAACCTCTTTACATAACTTTTATGTGTTACTTCTGTTCTATCATTATTTCCGTTCTAATCCTTCTGCATTTATCTACTTATGTTATTAATTCATCTTCTACCCTCCATTGATATATTTAAAATACTTAAGTCTATTATTATTACATTAGCTTCTAAAGGTGCTACTCACGATCTCTTTCGTGCAATCATTATTCAACATATCATTCATAATTTTGCCTCATATCTATCTTAATATTCTCATCTATGTATTTATCATTAAACTAATTATTTTAGTTTTATACTCTTCTTTTATTATATTGTAATTTGTATTGTAGACATGTGTGTGGCCTATCAGGCTTAGAAACAGAATGCTCTCTATTTGTCATTTAGATATTAAAAAAGTTGATGTGTTTATAAGCTAGTATAATTATTGCTTCCATGCTATGGAATTCTAGATATCTTCTCTGCTTGAATTTGTACTCAATAGAAATTATATATGGTCTTTGGAATTACAATTACTTCTTCTGACAGACTGTACCTGATATATTTGTTGTAAACATACATAATTTATAATGCTAATAGATTTCATGATCCTTTGAAATAATATAATTAATAGGAGAGGATAAAAAATTCCCTTGGTAAAAAAAAATGTTAATGATTAATTTTAGATTAAAGCTATCAAACAAAACTAAGATCGCCTTTGAAATATCAAGAAAACATTTTATAAATTATTTTTAGTTGGTTTGTTTTGATTGTTGAAATTGATTTGGAACGTGACACATCATGTAATTCACGCGTCATTGATTCAATGTATAGCTCTTTTATCCATGTTGGCATCACTTAACCATTCCTTACGAATAGTATATGTGTGCACGCACTATTCTACTTTTTTTTTTCTTGATAAAATCTAAAATGAATATAAGATTAAGAGCTTGCTCAGAAGAATTAGCTAAAATAAGAATGCATGATGCCTGATGGTCATACCAATGTAAGGTTAAAGAGATTTATGTTGTCTATCCCTAGAAGTAGAGATGTAACTTCTATGATTTGAACCTCTAAGTTCCATGTTAAAATAGAGGCGGCCTAACCATTGCTTCAGGCTTTACTCGCTTATGAATAATAACTATCAAATTGTATTATGAAAAGTTCTAGACTTTATGGAGATTGTTAAAGCATGTGCTGCAAGCTTTGACCCAAAAGCATACCATTAGATTTGTACTTGTTGCTTATTGTTGCTTGAGTGAAGCCATGGCTCTCATCTACAAATATCCTTGCATTCTCTTAAAATCTGGTCATAATCATTATTATCTGAAGAGCACTTGATTGGAAGATCTGATCATGTCTGCCATCTAGACTTTGAACTTTTCTTGATTGCGTGAAATTGCTAGTGATTCTTCTTAAGCTAGATCAAAAGTTTGAACTGCTTACTTTTTAGGCTTATAGTTTATTGATTGTGATTATTATCAATAGTAGCATCATAGGCATAGCCCTTGGACTCTTTGCTCATTATAAGACAAATTATTTTTTTATAATGTTATATGAAAGAATTAGTGCCGAAGGGTTAGAAATGAAAAACGATAGATCTAAGACTATATGTATGATTTACATAAATAAAAGTTCAAATGATTTGTGAAGAATTTATTTAATATCTGAAACAACATTCAATGAATGGAAAATGAGTATTCATTATACTGATCCTAATTACTTGGCATTAAGGCTAATGATGATGATGCAAATGGTGGTTGTTTTTATACATAAGCTTCATATGAAATACATTAGTTGAGCATCATTGTTAATGAACAGGAGATTCCATGGTGGTTTTTTTTTTTAATCGTAATCTATGGTTTTTGTTGAAGACAAAATAGAAACGTTTGTATTTTGTGAGACTTCTCTATTCATACTCATTCGAAGAAAAGTTCCTCCTATGATAGTTTTTATAAGATAATTACTATTTTTTAACTCCATATACTTGATTTACCAACTATCATCTCATTGAGGCTATATGTCTTAGTGCCTCATGCTCTCAGGTAAGGCAAGGCTGCATCTTAGGTCATTGTGCTTTCCTGAATTATTTATTTATTAAGGTGAGCGCCTTGGAAAGTTTTAGTTCCTTTGCCCTATGACAAATATTATAGTAACTTTTATCTGGGCCAATTTATTAGAATTATTATTTTTAATCTGGCTTCATTTTTGATAGATCATCTGCAATTTATGTTATATAATATTAAGCTTTCATGATGCAAGGTTGCATTAGTGAACTTAAGATCTATTAAATAAATAAATAAAACAAATTGTGAACATATAATGAAAGTCCAACATTGGTTTTGCATTTTTTTTCAGATTAATTGTCTATATTAAAATTGAAGTATGAATAAAATCTGACATCAAGATTTTACTAGCAAACTTTTTATTATTATTATTAAAAAAAAAAACAAGTTTCTAGTGTATCTGTTCCCGAGTGATTTTTACCTTACCACCTTAATGTACTTTTCTTGTTTGATGTTGTGTTATTCTACTTTAAAATTGAAATGGAATTTTTTGTTTTTAATAAAATTCATCACTTCAATGCACAACGATAGGTCATGATATTCTTCAGTGCACATGGAGTTCCACTTAGCTATGTTGAGGACGCTGGAGATCCTTACAGAGATCAAATGGAGGATTGTATTAGTTTGATAATGGATGAGTTGAAGTCAAGGAGAGTCATGAATAACCACACTCTGGCCTATCAGGTACATTGGTAAAGTTAGACACCTTACCATTTAAATATTTCTTTCTTTTCACAAGCTTTCTATTTGAAACCGTAGGAGCTCTAACTTGACTCTTAATTGCTGACTAATTTTACTTCAAAACCATCCATAATTTGCTTGAGCTTGCTTAATATTTCACATATTTATCAGAGCCGAGTTGGACCCGTTCAGTGGCTGAAACCTTACACTGATGAAGTCATAGTCGAGCTTGGTCAGAAAGGTGTTCAGAGTCTTCTCACTGTTCCAATAAGGTAGATTTTTGCAATTTAATTTACTGTGAGTTTTGTATCAAGAAACCACTTTGAACTACCTAACAAGATTCCTGAATTTTTGTTGATGCGTTTTATCTAATAAGTAGAAAAGCTGATTTTTAAGAAGTTCAAAATTTCTTTTTCCCCCCTTCTAGGAAATTAATTGCAATTTTCTTTCTCAATTTTCAATAGCAAATCTGACCTCAATTATCCTGCAAGGAAACCGTAACAATGGAATTCATGAAGGAACCACCTTGCATAGCATTTAAATTTTAGAGATCAAATAAGAATCCAATTTCTGAAAGCGGATTCTCATACATATTCGTGTAGAAAGAGGAATAGGTACACTTCATTTAGTTCTACATTCGTTATTTATTCTGAAATACTTCATATTAAGATTATCTTAATATTCTTTCTAATAGATAGACTTATCATAAGATATCTTTATAATTATGATAGGTACAAATATGAAATCGAGGTACCCATTCTATGATAGATTTGAAATTTCCCTCTATTTTTGTTCCTTTAGAAGAATATGAAATCGAGGTACTCATTCTATGATAGATTTGAACTTTCCCTCTATTTTTGTTCCTTCAGAAGAATATAAATGTTTACCATTTTTTATTTTTTTTTTATTTTGAAATGTATGTAACCAAAGTAAAGAGGGTCTTTTCCTATAAATATGGATCTAATATTACTCTCTTCAATTCAGCTTTGTTAGTGAACACATTGAAACTTTGGAAGAAATTGACATGGAATACAAGCACTTGGCTTTAGAATCTGGCATCAAAAACTGGGGTAGAGTGCCTGCTTTGGGTTGCACTTCTTCCTTCATTTCAGATTTAGCTGATGCTGTCATTGAGGCCATTCCTTCTGCTACTGCTATATCAGCTGAAAGGAGCCATATCAACCTTGCTGAGAAAGATCCCCTGAACTATATTCTTAGCTTATTTTTGGGATCTTTTTTAGCCTTTTTCTTACTATTGTCACCTAGAGCGTTCTCTTTGTTCAAGAACAACCTCCTTTAACAAAATTCTGCTGGGATCCTTCAAGATTTTTACACAATACCATTTTCAGATGGACAAGATCGTATTCTTTATAAAGAAATTTATAGTAGTTGCCAACATAGTAAGTGGCAAACAAAAGCACCAGACTATAGGGATAGATATAGATATCAGCAACAACAATGCAGGCTTTCTTATAAAATAGAAGTTCAAGGTTCTTGTAATTGTCATTATGATTTAGAATGAAAATATGATGTTTTGTTTGGCTTTTTCCTTTTTTTGCTGTACCTCCACCATTTTTTCTTTGTTCTTCTCTGATTTGTCTGATTGCTTGGCCCAGAATCAATATGCTAAACACTGAAATAATTACCTATTGTGCTATTTGCTCTAATATGACGACTACCTGAGCATTTCTGTATGAGTACACTTTGTACTTTTGAAAAAATTATTACGGGCGGTGTCCAGATGGGCAAATTATTACATCCGGTCACCGGACCTATAAATACGTCCGGATATCCTCTAAAAATTTCACTCGTGGAATGCAAATGTGTCCGCAGAATTTTAAGTCAAGCACGTCAAAAGCGCAGGTAAAGCGCAGTGAAAGTGCATGTAAAGCGCAGTCAAAGTTCACCCAAAGCGCAGTCAAAGCGCACTTAAAGCGCACAGTCAAAATGCGTCCACGCGGCAACTTTTTAGTGGATATTCGGACCTATTTTCTAGGTCCGGTGACCGGACGTAATAATTTGCCATCCAGATGAGCCACGTTATTCAATACACAGTATATTGGGAGACGTGATGAATCTGGATTAGCCTTCGGGCACATGTATGCACATAATAATCATACAGATTATAACCACATTTTTAATTGTTATTATATTTTATTGTTTTAATGATTAGAAATTATTTATTATAATCAAATATATTAATATGTTGTAACTATAAGAATGTTGCTGATTGCCTTTTTCTTAATAAAATTATTTTTTAATAATTTTTTAAAATATATTTTTATAATTTTATAATCATATTTACAAAAAAATATAGTCATCCTAAATAGATTCATTGTTGTTTGGAGCACAACTTAAATCAAAAGTTGGATTTGAGTTGTTGAATTGTGAAACTCGTTACAAATGTGAATTTTAATCATCAATAGACATTTTGTTGATAAGATTAGAGAGAGTCGCCTTAGATGGAGAGTAGAGGTATTAGATTTGACTTATGTTAAGAAAGGTAGGGGTAGACTTAAAAAGACTTGGTTAGAAAATATTAGGAATGACCTTTCTTTATTAGATTTAAACGAGAATTTGACTTTTAATAGGACACAATGGAGAAAAATGATTCATCTAGTCGACCCCGTATAGTGGGATAAAGGCTTGATGTTGTTGTTGAATAGATTAAAATCAATGTCACATTAGAGTGCCCCTTTGTTTATCCATCTTTATCTGTTCAAGAAAACTAATTTCTATGATATCAAATTCTTCGAAGTCTCAAGTTCATAATCAACATCCTACTGCTTAAATTCTAAGTGCCACTGCCTGATTTACTTACTTTTGTATAATAAAGGTCAAACATTCAAACTTCTGCTACAAATAACAATTCCATAAATTATTTAAAATAAAACTGAAACATTAAAATAAAATTATTTGGCCATTTGTTTTCCCATAAGAATCATGGAAATCAAATGACTTCTCGGCATTCAAGCTGTGCTTGCAAGACAGACAATTTAGTTTTATACATTGAGCCTAAGTTTGCCTATACTAAGAATTTATAAAATTTTGAAAGCTAACAGTGACTTAGGCAAGTCACTTCGTTTGGGACGGCTTTCTTACCGCTTCTTGAAATAGCTTTTTTTTTTAACTATAAAGTCACTATAAGAAGCTGTAAGAAAATCATTCCAAACGAAGCCTTAAACTAAGAATTTATAAGTTAGCAAATATATTATCATAAACAAAGTAAAACAAAGCAGATGATAATTCTTTCAGCATTTTCAATTGCAATCGAAAAAATGCGATGCCAAAAAGAATGGAAACAAAAATCAGAACATACAGAGACTACATCAATTAGAAACAAACAAAAGCATCCATATTGTTGGAATTATGTATTTTATAAAAATGATCTGAAAACTATCAATACAAGTATTAAATTTTTTGGGCAAAGAATTTATTGAGCTCGCATCAAAATGAACAGAAAATTCTGAAAAATCATGATATCAGGATTGTTAAATTACAAAAAAAAAAAAAAAACTTGGTATTCAAATTGGATGTGATTAATCAATATAAACATCAAAACCTTCAACAAATGGATAGAAGACAACAAAAACCTACATTGTAAAAAAACTAAGCTACTATTACAAAAAATTTGTAGAGCACAAGGCATGTTGAATTATGCTCCTGCCTGCTTGGAATATGACCTCACAACATAAGATTACTTCAACTTGGAATCAAACTTACTTCACCAAAAATATTCGCAATCAAAACAAAACATCCAGAAATGCAACCAACCAAGACAAAACTGATTATAAGGTATTGGGGTGCTGCGTCTTCCATGAGCAGCAAATATAGATCATATAACTATTCTCCTATACCTGGAAAAGATCAGATTTATCACCCTTTTATGGTTGACCTCCTCTCCAGTAATGATTCCAAGAATGTCGAGCAAAGTTTTGTTAATGGTGGAAGATTATGTGATGATCCAGTAAATATAGTTTCCCAAGGCCTTTCTGATGGCATAAATGGAACTTCTGAAATACTGTCTCCCTTCATGTCAAATTCTGGGAGCTCACCATATATAGATGTATATCCAATGTATTCTGAAGATAGGGATGTCAGATGAAACTAATTAGAATTTATGAAAAGAAATCACAAATGTTTTCTAGAGACGACGCTGAAAAAGAATATACGAGATCGGGTCTGCGGCCAAGTGGTCGATGGAAGAAATTCCTCCCATCTCATCCGGGCTCGAATCCCCTAACCGTCCCGAAAAAAATGCAAAAATCAAAAAAAGGGATGTGTGGTAAACATGATTTTACCTGATTCTTTGTCAGGAACTTGCCTGGTAAGAGCATTCCTTGCAATCTGAACCTCTGGGTCCTGTGGATTAAAGATAACGTACTCATGATCACCATTGATGTAAGCTAGTAATGAGTGGCTTCCTTCCCCTGGATATTTTGTATCACGAAGTAATAAATCAGGAGCTAGAAAAGCAAGCCCACCTCCCTTCGCCTGAATGGAAGGAAAAAAAATTACAATAAAATAATGGTTTAATATTCACATTTTCAATGAATTACGATAGTATGAATCCTTCATCATAAAAAGTAAAATTATGAACAAAATAAAACTTTAGCTAAGTCTAGTTCAATATTTAACTGAGGGCTATAAAAGATTGGCGTGTAGACACATAGTATGGAAGAGCAAAAACAAGTAATAATAAAGTTTCTTTACGTTTAACTACATAAAAAATTATTATATCTCATTTGATTCCATGTAAATTAAAAATTGATGCAAGCCACGGCATATCCAAATATAAGAGTATTTACAAAGGCTCCATGCATTCAATGCAGCGTCCAAATATTCTCATAAATTAAAACTGGATGCAAACCTTGTTGTTGACCCCAATACTAGTGTCGGGTCGAGTCGACCGCGCAAGGTGGGTTTCAAAAGCGAAAGAGCTCGAAATCGCGCAAAAACTCACCCGACGTGTGTCGACCCAAAACCAAAAATCGCCGAAACAACCTCCGTTTGCGAAACGGACAGCGCCGATGCGTCCGGAGCAACGGAGACAACTAAGATCGGCACCCATATTTGTGGAAGTTGCCGGTCGGCGAAAAATTAAATTTTGGGCGCGCGAATCCAGACGACGACTTGTGCGAGCGACGACGCGACAACCAACTCGATGCAAGATTAAAAAAATTATTTTTTTTTTGTGCAATCTAATTAAAAAAATTTTGAAAAAAAGAGGGAGAAAGAGCTTTTTTAAATAAAAAATGATTTTTTTTTAATAAAAAATCATAAAAATACCTAAACTACCCCCTACTTAACCCTCATAACTCTCCTAACCGATCCCTCTCCCCACTCACGCCATTTCTCACGCAAGGAAGCCGCCCCTCTCACGCCTCTCTCACGACTCCAAGGCCGGCCTCCTCCCTCCAAGCAAGGTAAACCTCTCCTTCTTCCTCTCTTTCTTCTTCCTCCATTCTTCTTCTTCTTTCCCTCTTCTTCCCCTTCCCAATTTTTCATCAACCCTCATCTTCCCTCCAAGTTTCCCACCATTTTCTCCCTCTCCTTCCTTTCCTTCATCTTCCTCCTCCAACCCTCTTTCTCAAAACCTACAAAAACTCTAAACCCTAATCTTTTTTTTTCCTCACTTCCACTCATCAAACCACCTAAATCCCTTCACAAAAAATGTTCCTACACACCTCCTACACCCAACAAAAAAAATTTTCATCCTTCATTTTCTCTCTCTAACCTAGAGAGAGAAAATTTTCTCTAACTAGAATGAGAGTGAAATTCCTTCATGTACGGCTCTATTTACATCCTAAGTGTCTCCACTTCCCACCATACCTCCAAATACCTTGCCTAGAGATAAACAAATTTCCCTCCTCTCTTTGTCTCTCCAAAAATGAGAGAGAGATAGAGATTTTTCTCTCTCTAACCCCACTCCCCTAATCTCCTACACACTCTAAGCCCACTCCACAAGAAAAACCCATAAAATCCTTTCTCTCTCTTTCCCTCTCTAGAAAGAGAGCTCTCTTCCTTTTCTTTCTCTCTCTAGCTTCTTTTTCAAATAAAAATATGATTAATTAAATTGCACAAGTAAATTTTTTTTTTAATTATGCATCGCAGGTTCCTACGTCGCCGTCATCCGCCGTCGCCGCCTCGATTACTGCACACCCAAGGTAAAAACTAGTATTTACATTTCTGTGTATGAAATAAGTACTCGTGATCGCCTTTCTTAGCGGGCGAGAAAACTTAAGTACCCGTGACGCACTGAGCGAGCGGGGAAATTCGTATACATAAAAATATAAGTACCCGTGACTGTTTTTCTTAGCAGGCGAGGAAATTTGTTATTTGCAAAAAAAAAATTATTTAATTAAGTACCCGTCACTGCTTTTAGGCGGGGAAAATGTCATACTTTAATCTTGTGCTCAAAGACCCCGTGACCGCTTTTGTTAGCGAGCGGGGATTGGAACTGCGGCCGCGGTGTCACCCGACACCTACCGTGACTGCCTTTCTTGGCAGGCGGGAAGGCATTACACACTCTGATGCAGCCCCCTACGCGAGGATGACGCCGGAGTGCTGCCGAATTTCTATTTGAAAATATTGAGGACTTAAACAAAAAGTAAACTTGAATTTTGAGCTTGAACAAAACACCCAAGTAGACTCAAGTGAATTCGAACTTGAGGGATCACAAAGAAAGAGAGGAAGAAGGAGAGGTTTACTTGGGTGTTTTGTTCAAGCTCAAAATTCAAGTTCACTTTTTGTTTAAGTCCTCAATATTTTCAAATAGAAATTCGGCAGCACTCCAACGTCGTCCCCGCGTAGGGGGCTGCATCAGAGTGTGTAAGGCCTTCCCACCTGCCAAGAAAGGCAGTCACGGTAGGTGTCGGGTGACACCGCGACCGCAGTTCCAATCCCCGCTCGCTAACAAAAGCGGTCATGTGGTCTTTGAGCACAGGATTAAAGTATGACATTTTCCCCGCCTAAAAGCAGAGACGGGTACTTAATTATTTTTTTTTTTTGCAAATAACAAATTTCTCCGCTTGCTAAGAAAATCGGTCACGGGTACTTATATTTTCATGTATACGAATTTCCCCGCTCGCTCAGTGCGTCACGGGTACATAAGTTTTCTCGCCCGCTAAGAAAAGCGATCACGAGTACTTATTTTATGCACAGAAATGTAAATACTAATTTTTACCTTGTGTGTGCAGTAATCGAGGCGGCGACGGCGGATGACGGCAACGTAGGAACCTGCGATGCATAATTAAAAAAAATTTTACTTGTGCAATTTAATTAATCATATTTTTATTTGAAAAAGAAGCTAGAGAGAGAAAGAAAAGGAAGAGATCTCTCTTTCTAGAGAGGGAAAGAGAGAGAAAGGATTTTATGGGTTTTTCTTGTGGAGTGGGCTTAGAGTGTGTAGGAGATTAGGGGAGTGGGGTTAGAGAGAGAAAAATCTCTCTCTCTCTCTCTTTTGGAGAGAGAAAGAGATGAGGGAAATTTGTTTCTCTCTCCAGGCAACGTATTTGGAGGTATGGTGGGAAGGGGAGACGCTTAGGATGGAAATAGAGCCGTACATGAAGGAATTTCACTCTCATTCTAGAGAGAGAAAATTTTCTCTCTCTAGGTTAGAGAGAGAAAATGAAGGATGAAAATTTTTTTGTTGGAAGGGTGTAGGAGGTGTGTAGGAACATTTTTTGTGAAGGGATTTAGGTGGTTTGGTGAGTGGAAGTGAGGAAAAAAAAGATTAGGGTTTAGGGTTTTTGTAGGTTTTGAGAAAGAGGGTTGGAGGAGGAAGAAGAAGATGAAGGAAAGGAAGGAGAAGGGAGTAGAGGGAGAAAATAGAAGAAAATGGTGGGAAACTTGGAGGGAAGATGAGGGTTGATGAAAAATAGGGAAGGGGAAGAAGAGGGAAGGAAGAAGGAGAAGAAGAAGAAGAATGGAGAATGGAGGAAGAAGAAGAAGAAGAAGAAGAAGAAAGAGAGGAAGAAGGAGAGGTTTACCTTGCTTGGAGGGAGGAGGGAGGAGGCCGGCCTTGGAGTCGTGAGAGAGGCGTGAGAGAGGAGTGAGAGGGGCGGCTTCCTTGCGTGAGGAATGGCGTGAGTGGGGAGAGGGATCGGTTAGGAGAGTTATGAGGGTTAAGTGGGGGGTAGTTTAGGTATTTTTATGATTTTTTATTAAAAGAAAATTCATTTTTTATTTAAAAAAGCTCTTTCTCCCTTTTTTCAAAATTTTTTAATTAGATTGCACAAAAATAAAAATAAATTTTTTAATCTTGCATCGAGTTGGTCGTCGCGTTGTCGCTCGCACAAGTCGTCGTCTCAATTCGCGCGCCCAAAATTTAATTTTTCGCAGACCGGCGACCCCCACCAATATGGGTGCCGATCTTAGCTGTCTCTGTTGCTCCGGACGCATCGGCGCTGTCCGTTTCACAAACGGAGGTCGTTTCGGCGATTTTTGGTTTTGGGTCGACACACGTCGGGTGAGTTTTTGCGCGATTTCGAGCTCTTTCGCTTTTGAAATCCACCTTGCGCGGTCGACTCGACCCCACACTAGTATTGGGGTCAACACTTGTCATATAAAACATGATATAATAGAATCAAAGTATCCAGAAGTTTTATGGCATCAAGAATATCAGCGCATGATATTTGCTAAATTTTGAGTAATAACTGTTTTCAGAAGCACAATGAGTTTTAAGAGCTGAAGAGTTGTACCTTTCTGACCCGCCAAGTTGCTAAAGGGGTAGGATTTTCCACTTCAAATAACAAAATTATCCCATCTTGGTTTCTTTTAATAGCTTTGCCATGTGTATTGTCGATGACAAGGATAGCAAACTGAGATCCATCTTTTGCAGTGCTGATGGCTGAAACAACATGAAACAGTGAAAATAAGAGGCATTGAAGAAACTAAAATATCATCAGAGACCAACCAAACCAATACGTAGTCAGAAATTTTGACTGTAAAAGTTTTTTTGGCATTTGCTTGCTTTGATAATTGAATAAGTTTTCAACATTATTTAAAAAGCTCAATTTACAACTGAGCAAGTTCAATTATAGCAAAATTGCTCAGAACTCATTTAATTACTTAAAGTTCATAAGATGTTAAGAACAATAATGAATTTATTAAACTTTGTAATTTGGATGATGCAATTACAAATTAATATTAGTTTTAAACTCTACAAATACCTTCAAAATCCCTCAAAAGTGATGAGCACATTCTTTCAAACATAAAGTGAGTAAAAGTAAAATATCATTGTTGTATAAAGCATTTATTTAATCTGCAAACATCCAAATGAGCCCTAAGTTTCCTTCTTTAACATTCCTGTCTATTGTTGAAAAAATAGATCAATAAGGGCTTAATAACATTTTAACTGGTAGGTTGTTTAGAAAATTAAATTTTTAATTTGTCAATGAATATTTTACAATTTCTGTACAAATAAGTATTCCTTCTTAATAAAACTTGGCGTGAGTAAAACGCTAGCTTATATCAGAAAATAATTTGTTAGCTTGAATTAGATCCATCTTTGCTCTTTCATTAAATTTCAGTTTCAAAGATGTTTATCAAGATTACTATCTCAAGTTTTATGAATAAATATGAGCAGGTATTATTATTACTTTTTTTTACTAAATATAACTTATCAAATTCTCAACTCTAACTTAGTATTATGTGTTGGATCTTCGACCAAGTGATAAACATGCATGCTTATATTAAGCAAGGACTCGACTTACCTTCTGTTGAAATTTGGTAAGACCACTGCATAGACAGCTTTAACAAATTCCAAACAGCTAACTGTGGCTTTGAATCCCGAGATATTGAAACTAAATATTCAGATTGCGCAATAAATGATAGATTACAAATCGGCTGCAAATAAAAAATAGAAAGTTTAAAACGATCATCCAACGAGTACATAAATAAAGGTCATCAATGACTTAAAAAGCATAGTCCTTCAGCCATATAAATTAAAATAATAAAACATTACCGCAAATGTATTTCCAATTACAGCTATAAGAACATTCTTCTCAGGATCCCATAATGTAAACAGATTCGCAGCTGCAACGGCTAGTACAGAACCATCAGCAGAAAATGTGGCTGCAGTCATGGGCAAATTCCTACAAATTCAGATCTCCATCAGTTGGCCAAAGAATGGCAGAATGAATTAAGCGAACAAAAAACATATATGCCATTACACAGGATAAGCATAGTTAAATGTACCCACACAAGAAGAATAGAAAGGCCAATAAGCATTTAAGAGACCATATTTTGTCATATACATCTTTTCCATGAAAAGGATCAAAAACAATCCCATGACTCTTTACGAAGAATCAAAATGGTCCACAACTATATTAGAATATCATTTTAGTCTTTCAAATCTTTAAAAATGAATCAAAATAGCCTCATAGGGGACTATTTTGGTTCATCTTTAAAGAGTTAAGGGACCAAAATGATCATTTAATATAGTTAGGAACCATTTTAATCCTTCATAATAAGCAAGGGACCATTTTGATCATTTTCTCTATCATTTAATAAAGCTGTACTTTCTAACATCATTTTCAATATTTCTCTAACTTTTGGTTCCATGAATTCGTGAGTAATGTCCGAATAGATTGAATTCTAAAAAATGCACTTCTGCAGACAATTGAGTCAACATTTCAAAATGAAAACAAAACGTCTACACAACATTGTTTTAATTTTTAAAAGTGACATTGAACAAGTACAGTCTTTACCTACTAAGATGACTACTTAGCATGACAAGATTGATTTAAGTCTGCTGGAGAGGCACATATATCTAACGAAGATCAAAATAACTTCACTTTTTTTTTTGTTGAAGGTTAACACAATTTTCTAAACAAGGTGTAGTTTAAATGTTTTAATTCGGGTATAGTTTAGTTGATTCGTTTTAATTAGTAAGCCCCAAGAAACTTGAAGAAAAGCAAAAGTAAATTTTAGTAAGGCTACTAAAGATCTTAAATAGTATAAAAGATGGCTGGCTTTATTATAAATATTTTTCTTCAAGTTTAATATGTCCAATTTTCATATTAATTGTTAAGAAAAATGCTGTAACTTGCATCATATAGCAAATTCCTCGAGAACATGGCAATAGAATGATTCAATAATCTAACAATTTACAACAACAAACTTAAAGCAATTTTTTCTAGAATAAAGAAATTCAAAATAGCAGATAAATCAAAGTAAATAAATAATTATTCATTTGATAAAAAAAATAAATCAAATGTTTGAAAGGTAAAGCAAATATCTATGAATCACATTAATCCTTGCCTTGACAGCCAGTTTTTCATTTGAGATGTAATGACCCAAAAAATTATAAAAATATCTTGAAATCCGCTAGCACAGAATTGTAATCTACAAAATGAAATCATTAGAAAGAATATTACTTGTAAGAACCAACAGATTGGCATTTCCATCCCGATTTCTGATGCATTTGGCCTTCTTGAGGCACATTGGAAGGATTAACCCACACCTGCATCATAAGAATAAGTGCAATTATAAATTCAAACAAACAACGGCGTACCAAAACTTCAGGAATTGCTAATGAAAGAAGCTACCTTGAAATCCCCACCCAAGGAAGAACTCACAGCCATAGAATGTCCCGGGCCTCCCGGCCGAAATGCAATAGCAGAAATTTGTGCATCACTGTAACCAAAAGAGAGAAATTCCGGCAGGCAAAACAAAAGACAGGTATAATAATCATCAACAAAATGAATTTGGGTTGCAAGAATGGAAGCTAACTGTAAGATTGTCTTTAGGGGAATAAATGAGCAATTGAGATTTTATTTGGCTCATTAACCAAACAAACTAATTTATCTATTACTCATGTTTGACTTGCTTATCAAGTGGAATGAGTTGTTCTAGAACTTCAAGTCCATATGAAATTATTACATAAAACAAAGAATATAAACACACTTAAATGCATACATCGAGAGACAAATGTACACATACGCATATTGTATAGATGCACATATTTATTATCAAATATAAGTTATTATTGATCGAAGCATGAGAAATCAGGCATTTTCTTGTTTGACTCATTAAGAAAGCAATTTAGAGCTAATAATCAACCCAGCTATTCCCAAAAATCAAACCAAATTAGCATCCCTACTTGTCATTCACCAAAAAAAACTTAAAATAAGATACCATACTTTAATTGCAACAATTGAAAGGGAAACCATTTTCACACCTTCAAACCTTTTTGTATTTGTACAGCCGCACATATTTACCCTCCATTCTAGAACAAGAGGAAGTTTCAAAATCTACATAGGTTTAATTGAACCATTCACAAACTAAGAATGCAACTCAAACCATTGTCCGGATCTGGATCCAACCAGAAACAAAACCCTAATTTTTTACTAAATTGCACCCAGGTTAGGCATTAAGATGGATTGGGTTGGTTAGAACAAGAGGAAAAGTAAAATGTAAAAAGTAGGTTGGATGGAAGACAGCACAACTTAAATCTTCATCTACTTCAACCAAATCTTATTCTATGCTCGTGCAAAAAAAATTATTATTATTATGTTATTGAGATGCGAGTGTCGCCAATAGAGTATTAGTGCATTACAAACAAAACCAAGGAATTTTACTGTTCTTAGGCATCTTAATTCAAACAATACACTTAACTATTTTTCATATTTCACCGATTGAACGTTTCTGCACATAAGCATTTTGACTCCACATAAATTAAACAAACTGAAGATTACCACAAACGCTGCTATTTCATCGACTAAACTCCTTCCTGACCCTGCTTTTAAATATACTAACCTAATAAACAAATTGTATCCAGAAATGCAGCATGCAGCTCATACATATCAGCTAAAATTCCACAAACAAACGGGTGATATTAAAAACCACAGACCACCAATATATTGATTTAACAATTCACTACTGAAAAGATAAAATCATAAAAGCATACTCCCAAAATGAACCCACATCTCAAATGGAGACATCAGTTTTCATATCCGTAGCAACTAACATGGCCAAACTCAAATTTAGTAGTTAACGCTACAGAAAAGAAATGATGAATCAGTAAACTTTCATAAATTAAAACAATTAATGCAAGAAAAATGGTGGATGCAAAGATGTCCGCATAAGGCTTCATTCAATTTGAATAGTTCATACAAAATATGAAACATAACAGCATATGCTATATGCACCATTTATTAACGAAAATCAAACTTGCTTGATTGACGATAGAACAATTGTTAAATCAAATAAACTTTGGTATCTAGGTAGTTTCATTACGAGATAAGATTATTGATAATAATGATTTGTGAGCTAAAAAAGTAAAAATATATTTTAAAAGAAGGAAAATGAAAGTTTTTGTTCAAATTTATAGAATTATAATCCCAACTTTCCATCAAGGATCAACATTGTCACGACCCGGCCCGGTTAGCTCGTATAGACGAGGCGGCAACGGAATCGGACGTTCAAAACATTCCAAAACATTTAAATCTTCTTAAAACATATATTTAAGAATCTGAAAGACTTCAACAGGAATTAAAAACGCATATATTGAAATGTTTTGGAATGTTCTGAACGTCTGATTCCGTTCCCGCCTCGTCTACACGAGCTAACTGGGCCAGGTCATGACAAACATTGAGCCCATATCTTTTTTTTTCTTAGTTAAGGAGATGCTTACAAAAGAATATTCATAATAAACTACCTTAATGTATGTTTTTATAGTTGATATAATTCTAATTAGTAAGAAATCAATCAAATTAAGTGGCATTTAAAACAGTGTGAAATATTTTTAAAAGATAGGGGCCTTAGAATTAGTAAAATAATGACTTAGTATATGATATAAAATATTATCGAAAATGACGATAACAATTATTATTTACCTATCAACAAGTTGTATGGATCTAATGTTTAAGTTGAGTGTGATAGAAATGAGAATATTGATATGTAAGTGGGACATAATATATATATATAAAGAGACACAAGCTCTATCTCCCTCTAATTCACATAAAAACATAAGCATGCACACTGCACCAACAATTGCATATGCAACACATCAATACCAATTAAAAGCAAGGGTGTTAAGGTTCTAGGTTGTATGTAACCTGTGAGGCTCATAAATCACAGTAGACAAGGTGTATTCTCCAATGTGGGAACCACTCCAAAACTTCAGAGTCACAAAGCCTCCTAACCCCTCCTCAGGAAGCTTAACATCAACAGTGCTCATCATAGAACCATCAGGAGAGAGAGCGATGAGAGCAACAAACACCTATGGAAATTAAAAGTAAACACATGGTTAATTAAGTATAAGCCAGAGAAGCTAAAAAATAGAAGCTGCAGACTTGTCCAATCACTATCAGAAAAAGAAAATGCCACATCATTCTTACAAAGAAAGCAGCCCAAGCCAATAACCTAAAGTCCTAAAGCACTAAATCATGCACATGTCATACTTTGCTAATATTAACTTTATCCAACATCATAAGCAAAGCCACAAAAGAAAATTCTACGAGACAACAAGAATAAATCTTGAGCACAGAATTTAACAAGCTTATTAATAATGTTTCGAGCTTGAAGCCAATGTAGATTTCTAAATCTAGCCAACTGAAAGAATTAGCAAATTTTATCATTTTCTAAAATATGTTTTCTAACAACCAGCAATTAAATGGGGCCTTATTTTCATTCTGAAATTGTAAAAGATAGTTCCTTCAAACCTCATAAAGAATTGGGAGAAGTTCTGAATCATCATCAAAGAAGATAGCATGGACAAAATCTTTACTTACATTTAATCTTTTATGCGAATAAAAGAAAGACATGATAATGCTATGGATATAGTAAAGTTGATTTCTTACATCCATCTGCACTGCTTCTAATAACATGATAAAGCATTCAAAAGTACAAATAATCACACATTATTCCTGTAAGATAAAAAGCTTTAAATTAGGCATGATCTTCCCTAAATTATTTCATGTCACTGTGGATGTCAAATTGGACATATCCACTCCAACATATCAATTAGGGTTCATCGGGTCACACATTATTGATATATTAGGTTGATGTACAAAGAAAGCTTATTTAATGCGTTAATAGTTTAGGGAATTGTCTGCCATATGCTCGCTGTACTTTTCAGGGATGGTGGTCCAGTCAAGTTTGTATAATCTGTCATTGAAAAAATCTCACAAAAATAACCACCTCTTTACTTATGGAACTTTCTTAGTGTCTGCAAAATGGAGCATAGGACGAGAAAAGGAGGATGATACTTTTCAAATAGAGAAATACAAGAGGGTATCTAATGATAATTAGACCAATAAAAGAATACGTGAAATATTAGAGTGGAAGTTCCAAATCAATTACCGTGACATCATCAACAGGTTGGAAGTTCCTTTCACATACTTGCACCTGGAAATGAGGAACTATGAGTCCATCATTACTATAAGCCAATGGTCAACTGTGTCAAACTTAAGGTAAAGTAAAAGCAGTTCTGCAAGTAGCACACCTGTGAAATTTCCCGGTTTTCAAACAAGTTAAAGAACTGTATGCAAAAATCTTCAGCACGCAATGCGACTAATCCAGCATCATTATAAAAGGCAAATTCATTGTTTGAGCACTCACACGAATCTGGAAATGAGAAAGGCAACTGAACACATATAGTGAGAACAAACACAAAACAGAAAGCAAATCAGTGGTAATGGTAGTAAATGAGTAAAATGGTTTCCTTTCCACAATCAATAAACCTTTATATATATATATATATATATATATATATAATTACATAGTATAACAAGCATGAAGAATGAATATAGAGACGCACAAACCTTAATTCCTGAAATAGACTTGATGATCTCCATTGTGGGCATCTTTAACAGATGGATTTGATTATCTGCACAAGAAAGCTGAAGATGGTGATGTCAGTAAAACCCAAAGAAGCAGAAATGAATACAGCACAAATTGATCAGCAGAAATTCATGATAACCAGGAGCTACAAATCGAGTTTAAAGGAATCCTTCTAAAGTGATGAACTGAAGGTCTTGGCATACATCAATTTAAATTTCTGTCAATGAACTATTTTGAAAGCGATGTATGTCACAATTTATTTCAATCTATATTTTCTGTTAAGTCATACATGCAACTTTTCATTAGGAATGATACAACATGTTTCATTATTTTAGCTTGTGCTCGGCTAGAGTTTAATAAGTCAGCAAACCACAATGCAAACCATAAAGTAGACTAAAGCATTAAGTGACCCAAGCATGAGCCAATCCCAACTCAACTCACATGCCTAAGGAAATAATTTGTTAAGGTCCATAAAAATTTTAAGATATATTTGCAAGTACAAAAATATTTATCATTAAAAAGTAAGTTTTCAAAGAAAATTCAAATATAAACCAAGCTCTAGACCCATCTCCCAGCACTACTACTCTTACACCTCTTATCCCAAAATTCCATCTTCCTCATACTCTCCACAGCATTCACTTCTCCCATAATCTTCTTCTACAGCTTCTATAGATCAACTGTCTTAGTATCCACGCTCCTGATCAAACTATCTCCACCACAACTGATAGCGCATACCATTTTGACATGGACCTCACATACTCCAACTCACCCAACCCTCCCTTCCAATCCCACATCTTCATAGTCACCCTCATTGCCACATCCTGTCCTTTTAATCCTAACAAGCATCCTCCATTCCGGTATCAGTACTATGATGAGCATTCATAAATTTGATATCACATCACAACTGCAACAGGACCATCCTCCCATGGCCTTCATTTTCTCCAGCAACCATCACCAACCATTTTTGTTACCTCTTTTCCAGTAGGCTCACGAGCTAAATATCAAGGCTCCCCACTTCAAATTAGAGAAATGGTGGAACAGGACAAAAGCTTGAGCACAAATTTAAATGCACCGCAATTGAGATCAGGTTTTGGCTTAGTCACATCTCTAGCCCTACCAAAATCAAAGCACCACTATACCTTCAAAAGACAACCTACTCGTTGTATATGTATAAGATCGGCCTATGGAGATGTGTAAATTACTTTATTCCATAGCCATTTGTGTTATCAAAGCAAGGATAGTTGATTAAAATTTAAAAAATAATTATGGTTGATGGTTAAAAGCTACAAACAAGAGCATGTATCCTACACTAAGATTTACAAGAGCATGCATCAAACACTAAGAATTAACTTCATTATCATTTATCATTTATCTCCCAGAGGTTTAGCTAACTATTATATGGCTCCCTAAGAATTGGTAAAATAACAAATCCTCCTTGAGGTTCATTATCATGTACCTCCTTCAGATTTAACTAACTATTATATATCTTCCTAAGGTTATCTCCCTGATAATTGCTAAAATATCAAATCCCAGCACTACATTAACTTTCCATCTAACATCCATTAAAAGAAAGGGTAGGTTAGTCACTTAAAATTAGAAAAATCTAATAGCCAAACACCATTATGATTCACCCGGGATCCTCAGCAACAAGAAGTTCAGTCGCTACAGCTCTTTCTTAATGATCATTCATTAAATGTTTAGTGGAAGAATCAATCAAATATAATTAAAAGTATTCCAAAAACGATGCATAAAATTGTATTATATACAACACTCATTGATTTATTTACACTAGATACTATATATTTTTATATTATTGTACAACTATTTAATTTCAGATTTATTTTGAAGCATTGCCATATTATAGCAGCAACAAATATTACCAAAACAAATTACTCATATATCAAAACTATCATGTACTATAATAGAATTTTAACAACAACTGCAGGTTAGTTTACAATACTATTTTGATAACAAAAAAAACTTCAAGAATTTCTTCAAAACCTCTAAGTTAATTAATTTTACAAATTATATGTAAACTTCCTTATGTTAGCAAAATTTTGCAAAATTATATCTAAAATAAAATTTTCAAGATAAACAAAATATTTTCAAATATATTCTTAAATGACCCCTTCGTTGATTGAGATCAGCATTTTAGGAATGAAACCTTTATATGACTACATAGGATCAGCTACATGAATCATTTTTCCACATTGTGTCCTGTTAAGAGTCAAGTTCTCATTTAAATCTAATATGAAAAGATCATTTTGTGATATTAGCTAACCAAGTCTTTTTAGGTCTACCTCTACCCTTTTAAACATAGGTTAGATCTAATACATCTAGCAGGGTCATCAAAAGGCAAACCTTTTATGTGGCCAAACAATCTAAGGCAACTCTCTCAAATACTATCTACCACTGGAGCTCCTCCAACTTTTTCACGTATAAACTAGTTTCGCATTATCTCTAAGTGTAAAGACCACATCCACCTGAGTATCCCCGTCTCTACAATAATTAACTTAATTTAATACTTTTCTTTTAATGACTAACATTCTGCGCCATAAGGCATTGCAGGTCTCACCACCATCTTATAAATTTTTTTCTTAAGTTTGAGGGGCACTTTTCTATCACAGAAAAGGCTTGATGCCAACCTCCACTTCAACCATTCAACTTGAATTCTACTAATAATATCCTCGTCTATTTCACCATCGTTTTGAACAATAGACCCAAATTATATAAAATGCACTATTTTTAATGACTTGATCACCCAATATTACAATCCCACCACTAGACATATTACTACTAACATTACACTTAATGTATTCAATTTTAAATCTACTCAAACGCAAACCTTTAGACTCCAAGGTTGTGGGCTCCGAAAATTCGGTTTGGGTAGTTGTTTTTTTCAATTTTTGTGTCCATTAGTTGTTGCATTAATGCCTTGTTTTCCCCCTAGTTGTTTTCCCTTCGGTTCATGTTTGCTGTACCTTTGGTTTGGACAATTGTCCCTTCGATTTTTGTGCACATTAGCTGCTGTATTAATGCCTAGTTTTCCCCCTAATTGTTGCCCCTTCGGTCCTCTTTGTTGTCCCTTCGATTTAGGCAGCTGTCCCTTCGGTTTTTGTGCCCATTAGTTGTTATATTAATGCCTCATTTTCCCCTAGCTGCTGTCCCTTCGGTCCCTCTTTGCTGTCCTTTTCAAGAGAATTCTAGTGGTTGTTTGGGTGGTGCTTTAATTACTTGCAATAAATATTTTCTCTCTTTTTCCCCTATATATAATGGCTGTTTTCCTGCAGATGCAGGCAGTTTCTGTGAAGAATTTGCATGCAAACCTGCGAGTTTTTCTAGCTTGCGAGCTAGCCCCCTTTCCCCTTCCCCTCTATAACTTCATCTCGGTCTTCTACCTCTTCTTATCTATCCACGGTTCCCGCCCCTTCTGTATCTTTCTTCTCTTGTGAGCTTGGTGGTGTCTGCTGCCACATTTTGGTTGGTATTTGCCGGATCGTTCCAATGGTGGATTCCGGGTGAGAACTATCCTTTGAGCACCTATCCTTTATATTTCAAGCATTGCATGAGAGGTGACCGCTTGCTGGTTGTTCTGAGGGTAGCCTTGTTGTAATTTCTTTATGTTTAAGGATTTTGTAAGCCGCTTTCTAGAGCTTGTTCCTACTTTTAGTTTTATATATGGATGTTTATGCTTTATTGAAAGGAAGAAGTTCTCTAATTGCTTTCCTAAGTGTTCTCCATAAAAATATTCAGAAACTTAGGTTGCATCAATTTTGTATCAGAGACCTTGGTTATCGTTCTAGTCTTCATTTCTTCTTTATAAAAATATGGAAAATCAACAAGCTGAATGGCAACGTATGTTTTATGCAACAACTGATTAACCTACAACAACAAATGGAAGCAAAGACTAATACCCTAGCTGCACTAAGTCCAAAAGGTAAACCTATTTTGAAACAAAATGCGGGATCTAATAAGGTGAAATTTAAATTCCAACAATCAGATTCTAGCTATCTGCAAAACTCACTTTGGAGAATGACTATTGATGAAGTTGGTAAATTGTCATGTTTTCCTCCTGCGAAGCAACATCCTAAAAAAGTAAGAAGAAATGCAGCCAAACTATACTCTTCAGATGCTTAGTTTACCATTTATCCAGTCAAAAATATTGTGGATAAATTTGAGACTCAAACAGTAAACAAAGTTGAAATCCTATAAAAATAATGGAGAAGCTGTTATTTTTAAAGGCAATCTTAGGGATGTCAATTTCAAGTCATGGGTCGGGTTCGGGTAGAACCCAAAACTAACTCGGCACTATTCGGATTTGAGTCAACCCGACTCGTCGGGTTGATTTTTTGGACCCAAACCCGACCCACTATGGGTTCAGGCCAACCCGACCCATTTAGGGTTTAGGCATAACGCGTCAGCTGCAGCGGTACCGACGGCCGGCAGGGCAGCGTCAACGATGTCGGTGACGCGACAGCCAGCTATATGCGGAGCGGACATGACGCGAAGCGACGCGGGCCAGGCGGGCAAGCGAACCGCGGGGCAGGCGAGGCAGCTGGTGCGGGGTAGCGGGGCAGCTGGATTTTCGGGTCATTTCTGGGTTCTCGGGTCAACCCGAACCCTACCCGATTATGCAAACGGGTCAATTTTCGGGTTCGGGTCAACCCAAACCCAAAATTTTCGAGTTGGGTTCGGGTCGATTTTCTGGTCTGTCCAATATTGACACCACTAAGAAATCTGATGAGGTGATGTTGCAGTATGTTGATCAACCTGTTAGCTACAAAATGTTGTTAAATGCAGTAAACATGGAAGAAGAGAAAGTGAGGCAGCCAGAAGAACTGCAATTAGGGACAACGACCATAGAGGAAGCTATTGATACAAACTTCATAGCTCATCAAAATGTTGAAGGAAAAATGCAGCTTATAGAGGATGAACAACTAGAATTGATAAATCTAGCTGCATCAAGTAATGGTTTATCATCCATTATTTTTCATGACAATGATACTTTGATTAGCAGTATTCTATCAAAAGATGTTGAGCTTTTTGAAAGAGTTGGTTC